TCCAAATGAAGATAGCCTAGTGTTTTCATTAGGGGTTGTTTTGTTTGCTTGTTAATCTTCCTCAGCTTCTTGCTCCTTTGAACATAAAAGTAACCCGTATTTAGCAGTACTGAGAGTCAGACTTCCATCTGTCTGTTTTTAAGGCCCAGATCATGAAATCAATGTAAGTTAGGAGCCTAAATAGATTTGAGGATCTGGACCTTATACCCTAAACTTTTCTTTCAAATCATAATCTAGAGCCGAATTCTACATTGATCCTGTATGGTTCAGGGAAAAGAATAAAGGATTCAGGGCCATCAACTCGAGAAAGTTCAGACTCTTGAAATAGCCTTTTTACTCAAGTTTAGATAGAAAGGAGTTACCTAAATATTAAACCAAAACAGCTGAACATTAGCAATGTGTGAAATAATTTATTTACTTATTTACTCAACAGTCAGTTGACTCTCTCTTCTTTTTTTCCCGATTTGTCTTGTTTATATTCTGTGGTGACAGCTGAAAAAATGTTTTTGCTGAGAATTTCTACTACAGGGAATAATTTATTTAATGCAGATTTCCTCAGTTTCAAGGAGAACCCTACAATACTGGACACCACTTTTCAGCAGACACCACAATTACCACTGTAGCAAGTAGTGCAGCTGTAAGGTTAAATACTTCAGTACTATCAGACCTGGTCCAGTGAAAGTTTGATCAACCAAGAGCTTGCTAACAGTATGTAGGCTAAGAATATTAGATAATAAATCTGTAATCACTGAGTAAATGACCCCCTGACATATCCAAACCAGCTAGAAAACCAGTTGTCCTATGTTACCCATCCTTATGATGATATGTATCCTGGAGATCCTGGTCTTGACTCTAGTTAAGGTGGGCTTGGTTTTGTATGTATTATTAGCCCTGATTCTTTGACTGCTTTTTGTTATTCTGGTAGGTCAAACCGTTAATCCAGCAAGACCTGGAGTCTCCCTATGGCTTCTACTCCTCTCTTCCTTCTAACTGCTGGTGTGTGGGATGTAGTCAGGGGAAAAGGGGGCATGGTTGAGGTGCCCTTGCATATCTCTAATCTCCAATTGCAATAACAGTCTTGGGGGAGGGGTTATTTTAGAAACTCAATGGCCCCAGGATTGAGACAATGCATAGGTGATTTATGAGAGCTTTGACCTCTCACTCCAGATATATGCAAAACACTCTTCAGCCAGTCCAGAAAATCTGACCCATAGGATTTTGAACATTGGTCACGTTTGTAGTGTGAGGAAAACACAAAGAACCATGCCTTAAGTGACAACTAGAGAACTCTCTGACCAAGAAGTTCCTATGTTTATTAATTTCCCCCACTGCAACGCGTCCTGGTCCTCTATGGCATCTGTGGAGCACCAGGACTTCTATAACCACTTCATTTCTCCTCTTCTTTCTAATAAAAACATTGCATTGCTTTATAATTTGTTTTATATACATACAACAATTCAAAATAAACTTCACATTCCTGCCGAATTTTTATTTTGCAATTCCTGCTGGTTAGGCCACTTAGATTTAAGCAGTATCAATGCATGGGTATGGGTGCCCTTAGTCATCTTCTCATCAGAAGTTCTGCCGGAGATAGTCCAGATACAAATGGTGTTGATTAATATGCCAGAAGTGTTTTATATAGGTCCACTGATTTTTGCAGAAGTCTTTTCAGAATCTGCATTGTGCTCACCATTCCCTGTTGCTCTGAGGGAAAAGGGGACTACTAGTACAATGTTCAAATACAAAGTTCTGTGCAAATGCTAGGAATGTGTCAGAGGTAAAGTGAGACCAATTATTAGATATGAGAACTTCAGTAACTCCATGTCTTGTAACTATTGATTTTATTTTCTGGATGACATGCTGCTGAGGTCTGTGTAAGCATAGCTGAGTCACTATATCTGGAGAAGTAATTGACTACAGTAATGCATGTGTGTCCTTTCCAGAAAAAAACAAATCTGTTACCTGCTGCTCAGGTCTGTCAGGTAGCTTTGTAGAGAGTAATTGTTCTGATGATAGATTGATTTTTTTTTTCCTTGTTACATATCTTGCAACTTTCTACTGAAGTCTGAATTTGCTTACTCAGACCAGGCCACCATACATATTCTTGTGCTCATGCCCTGCACTTGTGTATACATTGGTGTCCCTCATGGACTTTAGAGAGCATCTCTTTCTGCACTACTGTAGGGATGAGAATGCCCTGTTCTCCCAGAAGCAGGCCCTCAGCGATGTGAAGGTCATTTTGGTCTTGCCAAATAGCATTAGAGAGACCAGATGGGTGAGGTAATATCTTTTATTGGACCAGCTTCTGTAGGTGAGGGAGACAAGCTTGGTCCAACAAGAGATATTGCCTCACCCATCTTGTCTTTCTAATATTCTGGAATCAACATGGCTACAAGTGTACAGCAAACAATATGGTATTAAGTCTGTTGGAAGCTGACTCCTTTGACCCCATCCTGTTTGGCAGAGCTGAGTCTCATTCTTTAGTTGTTCATGTCTAATTTGCTGAATTCAGCTGGCAGATGTGGGAATTACTGCCAGAACAAGGTCAATGTAGACTTTGACATCTTTTTCTAAAGCCTTTTCTTCTTCCATCGGTGGCTGTTTAGGAGGGGCCTACACAGAGTATCTGCTGCAGTGAGTGCTTTCCCTGGCATGCGTTCAACACTGAAAGAAAATTGCATCAACCATAGTTGAAATCTTTGAATCCTAGGTGGACCGTCATCCAGTTATTTTGAACCCAATAATACTACTAAGGGCTTGTCTGTTCTGTGTTAAAATTCAAGTGACTATTAGAGCTTCCATTTGCACTGGAGCATACTGCTGCTCAGTTTCTGTGGGGCTTCTTGATATGAATGCAACGGGTTTCTGATCTCCTTCTGGCAGCTTTTGCATGAGCACTGCCTACTACTGCTGTTGGCTAGTTGTCCAAAAAAGATGGTTCTTTTATTAAATGTGTTTTATTGTGTGCTTGTCATGGGGTGTACAAACCCCACATTGGATGACGGAAATACTTTGGGCCCAGCCAGCCCTGCCCTGCTACACCTGTAGCAAATGCACCAACTGGAGGAGGAGTTCAAAGGCAGGGGAGCAGCTCATTTGGCAGCAGACCAGGGAAGAAAGCAGATCTGCAACTCCAGGAGAGACGAGCTGAGGGAAGGCATACTCTCTCCCTAAACAATTGCTCAAATGTCCCTCCCTGAGGGAAGAGAGGACCTGATGCAGAGACAGCCTGAAAAGGAAACATTCCCCTTTCCCTCTCATATGAACTCCAGGCTTGGTAATTCACTTTACTGCATGGACTACCCCAGCAGGAGAAAGCCCTCAGGCTGAGGTGGCCCAGGAAGGTGGGCCATACTGCAGGAGGAGGCAGTTGCCACCCAAGAAAGAGCGACCTCGCTACATGCAGTCACCAGAAGGTTCCTTGTAGTGAGCAGACAACCCTCATGCTGACTTAGCCCAGACAACATCCTTAGGACAACTGTGGAGGAGGGGAGGGAATATAACAAGTGGCCGAGGGAGGGCAGCCTTAAGCATCCCTAGCTATCAGATCACTGATAGCCCTCAAAGGACCCTGGGTTGGAGCCTAGGTGGAATGGGTGGCCCCAGGGTTCCTCTACAAACAACCCCTGTGCATGTCACAGGCCTACAACCTGACTACTAGGAGACGCTCCCCTACCAACCACCCCAAGCAAGGACCATCACAGTGCTCCCTCAGATCCAGATATTGTACCCATTAAGGGTTTTTTTAGACGAGCTATAAATTTAAGAATTTCTGAAAATGATTTATTATGCCCAAGAATCTTTTTACAGCAGAAACATCTTGGAGTTCAGGTAAGGCAAGTAATGCCTTCAGTTTGTATGAATCTGACTGAATTTCCTGTTTGCTAATTGTGTCTTATAAGTGTTATCTGATCCATTCCAAATTCAGATTTCTTATTCAGGGTGAGGCTGGCTTTTTGGAAGCACTGCGTGTAGTCGCGCTTTATGTTCATTTTTGTCTCTGCTGTATAGCAACACATAATCTGCGTAGAAAAAGATGCCAGGCAAACTTAACACAATCTGAGCGATTCTCTTTGGAAATGTTCTGATGCTGAACATATGCCGAATGGAAGATATTGTTTCAATCTTCCAAGTGGGGTGGTGAATGTAGTTAATGGTATCGATTCTTTAATATGGGATTTGCCAGAAGCCTGCTGTAGTATCTAACTTTGAGAAGACCTTGGCTTCTGATAACTGAGTTAATGTCTTGTCACCTATGGGAAATACGTTTTTCTCTGCACATGCTTTAAGTTGTGTGATGTCCACACAAGTCTGGATTTTGCTATTTGGCTTCAGTACTACAATGGTCCCTAAATATCAGTCAGTGGGATCTTCTATGTGAGAAATAACCCTGATTTCTTCTATTCTATTTAATTCCTCTCTTGTCTTATCCTAGTAAGGATACAGGGATACGACATGGGGCTGAGAGTCACTGATGGCACCTGTTTTATTTTGTGTTCCCTTGTAGCTTTCCCCTGATCCTGTGAAGTTGTACAGATACATCTTGTTAGTTTGCTTTTTGCCATTAATGTATTCCAGTTTCTCCACTAGGTGTAGTCCTTGTATCACTGGCAACACTGGAGGGGACTTATCAGTTATTTTATTATATATTATTATTTGTTGAAGAACTTTGTCCTTTCTCCACTTTCCCAAGGAACTGGCCACAAACATATTGTTACTTATCCCCACGTAGAATCTTATTTGAGTTTTACAGATTTCTATGCTGGGATTTATTATAATCTGTTTTTGGAATTGTAGTGACTGCTGCCACAGTATCAATTTTATATTTAAGCTTTCAATCATTTAGACTCATGCTTGTGTACCAGTGTGTTGTCTGTCCTATTGAGGATATAGTCCCTAGAAGTATGGACATATTGTTATTCTATAACACTCCCTCTTGGATTGTTTCCACTACTTTTGGTGAACCTACATGCTATAGCAAAATGTCCCATTTTGTGGGATCTTCTATATTCTGCCTTTTGCTGGACATTCTTACCAGTTGTGGCTTTGTGTGTCTTGCCACATCTTCCAGAGCTTTTCCAAGTTTGTCTCTATGACAGTTCTCAGGATACTGAGGGCTATGAAATCACCCTGTTTGGCTGTTTGAACTCTGAAGGGACAGAGACTCTGAACTGAAGCCTGAGATCCCCACAGGCTGCCTCCTGCGTCTGCCCTGAAATACCAATTGACAGATCTCTACAACTCTGTCACTCTGAGGATTTAGATGGTAACTTATTTGCGTGTATATGTTTGCTTGCTTTAACCTGTAAATAACCCTCTTATTCTTTTTTCCTAGTTAATAAACCTTTAGATAGTTTATTACAGGACTGGCTACAGGCATTGTCTGTCTTTGGTGTAGAATTTAGGGTACTAATTGATTTGGGGTAAGTGACTGGTCTCTTGGGACTGGAAGCAACCTAAATGTGGTTCAATTTGTCTGGGTGGCAAGATAGACTGCAGAATCTAAGCAGACTCTCCATGACTCCATGGTAAGACTGTTATAGTGGTTCAGGAGTTCACATTTGTTACTCGTTTGGTGAAATCTAATTATAGAATACACCACCAGTTTGGGGTGTCTGCCCTAAGGAAGGCATTCACAGTCATGAGCCACTTTAGACAGCGTGACATTCCTAACTCTAACACTGGCTACTCACAGATAGGACAGATGTCCTAAAGATGCAGTGTACCCCACTTTACAGGTTTTACCTTAAATCACGGTTCGTATAAAACACACAGAACTTCTGAGCACTTATAATAAAACAAAAGGTTTATTTAAGAAAGAATGCAGAGTTAACTAGAAATAAGAGAAGAATGATGGAAATAATTGATTACAATACAAAAGTCATAAAACTTGAATCTGGGTAACTATCTTAATATAGTAGGTTTCAGTCTGTTGCAGTGCTGGCTGGCTTCAGAGGAACCAGGATCCAATTTTTAATGAGAACATCCCCGCTCCTCAAGATGTCTCCTCAGTGAAAGGATTAAGAGGACCTCTTTCCCTTCTGTGTTATACTGAAACAGTCTTTAGTCTCTGTTCAGAGAGAGGGTGAATCCCTGTTTAGTCATAATGGTCACTTTTTTATCTTTGAATTATTTTGATTGTTTGCAATTGCCCCTGCTGAAAGTCTTGGTATTGAGCAAGGCTAAACAATTGAGCATTGCATTACATCTCCTGAATAAGCAGTGAGGAGTGACAACTCTACCCTGCCTGAATGGGCCATCACTGAGACATACTATCATACTATCCTCTGTGACTAATTTTTACTTCAGGTCCATAAAGCATACTTTCAATGTAGTTACCTTATTCCTTAATCATTATCCGTACATATATCTCACAATGATGGTGAATCTTGATAAGTTACAAGCTTTCTGTAGATACCTTACAAGCTACTCTTTATGGATAAATATCCTGTAAGAAAAGTGTTTCGTGTAGTGAATTTGTCAGGTCTGATTTGCAAAGAACAGGGGATCATTTGCCAAGGAACCTCTGTCTCACACCCTCCTATTAAGGTTGTTTGGTCTCCCACTGGCTAGTTGTGCATTGTTCTGAGGTTGTAAATTTGGTCTGACTGCTCCTTTCATAGAATGATAG